GAAATAGGAAGAAAATGTCCATAGGAGAAGTGAAGGGGGGGTTACAGGAAAGTAAAAATATGAGAAAAGAAGGAAAAAAACAGAAACAAAGGTTTTTATAAATAGGGAGGGAAAAGGAATGGGGAAAATTCAAGAACCAAGATATATCTTGTACAGGTACAAATTCCCAGTAATGAATGTGATCTTAATGTATACCTAAAATGTACCAATAAACTTAGTGAAGTTAAAAAAAAACTAAGTGTAAGGGCCGGGCATGGTGGCACATGCCTATAATTCCAGCACTCGAGAGGCAGAGGCAGGAGGATCACTGCAAGTTCAAGGGTAGCCTGGGCTACATAATGAGTTCAGGGCCAGCCTGAACTACATAGCAAGACCCTGTCTCAAAAAAAAAAAAAAAAATTAGTATATGTACATGCATAAATACACATAAAATTGGTCAGATCCGGGAAAGGTCAATGTACTGTATTAACTATCAATTTTCGGTGTTATACTATACTTATATGCAAATTGTTACCATTGGGAAAAGTTGAGTGAAGGATATGTGGTTTCTGTCTTACAGCAGAACCTATAGGTTTTTTTAAAATGATAGGCATAGAGGCTGAGAAGAACATTAGCTTTTTGGTTCAGTAAAATTGTATGCAAATTCTGAAAATTTGAAAAGAATATGTACTCTTTAACTGTTGATTGTGTAAAAATCCATCTTCATTCGGTCCATTGATTTTATTTGATTGTTCAAGCTTCAGTATCTGCTTTACTTACTTTTCTCATTTCTGAGACAAAATGCCCAAAACCCACAAGTTAAAGGAAAAAAATATTTATTTTGTCTCACAATTTGTAAGTTTCAGTCCATAGTAGGCTAGCTCCAAGGCGAAGGGTCTTCACATCACAGAGGAGAAACGTCCATGTCTTGGCAGGCAGAAAGCAGCAGCCTTCTTTCTCTCCCTCTATAGTCCATCCAGGGTACAAGCCTATTGATTGGTGCCACCCACACCCAGGTGGGGCTCCCATCACCCACACCCAAAACAGTGCTAAACCAATCAGTGGACCAATCCAGTTATCGTGCCTTTAATCCACATTCACACACCCTAGATCCAGCCACTTCCAAAAAAGCCCCACCTTTGAGTGCAAGAGGCTTTGGGGAGACATCTGGATACAAGCCATAACAGTATCCTTATTAATTTTTGGTCTAGTTGATCTATCAGTTACTACACTGAAGATCTCTCTGTGATTGTAGATGTGTCATTTCTCATTATTTTGCCAATTTTTACTTTGTAATTTTTTGGTGTTAGGGATAACATTTCAGGATTGTTATTATTTTTTGATGCTATAAGTTATTTTATCAATTTGGGACGGTTTATCAAAATTGACTATTCCTAAATGCTTTTTGCCTTGGTTATTTAACTAATTTTATTTAGTATGTTCATAGTATGTTTGTCCATGATTTAGAATCCTCAGAGGAGACATTTTTCTCCTCAGTCCAGAGCCCAAGCTTTCCCTGACAGGTTTCTTTGCTGCCTCTTGCTTGTATAAGGCACAGCTTTTCAAGTCTGAGGATTTACTGAAAGACTAGCCATTAAAGTAGCCTAATTTATGTAAATGGTCTCAATTTAAATCCCTTGTGCATTTTACTTGCTTCAGAGCCATTTTTAATTTGGAGTCTCAGAAATCTGGTCTCTGAAACACCAAGATTTTTTTTATATTTCAACTTAAAAATTTGAGAACATTTATAATCATAATATTAATAAGTAGCATTAAAATATAATTGTTGCTTATGTAAGACTCGTATAGCTAAAACTAATTTGGACTTATTTTCAATTGAAACTTTTTTAAATGTTCCTATTTTAAAATTCTGTATAAGGAAAGAATAGTGATCTTGCTATCATAGGGAAAGATAAAGTATACTTCAAAATGCACAATTTAATAAGGAAAAATTTTGTTAATTATAACTAATATAGTAATATAACAGCAAATTTTAATATAACTTAGTTTTATAAATTAAGCATTACTTGTATACATGCCTGAGTTAACCATGTCATAGAAAAATTATTTTCTTTTTATTAGTTCCTATGTTTGAGGGTGTTGAATGTTATAATTACACAAAATTTTAATATAACGAATTCAACAAAAGTTTTCTTTGAAATTCTTCAGTAGTCAGTTTTTCCTCTCACAGACATACCTTTAATTACATCAAGAGTAAATTCAGTCTTGGGGCCACAGGGATTTAGCTCAGTGGTTCCACCGCTTGCGTCGTAAGCACAAGGACCCGAGTTCGATCTCTGGTACCAAAAAAAAAAGAGTAAATTCGGTCTCTAAAACATTAAATAGCATAACTTTTCATCAAAAGCATAATGTCCTGGTTTTGCTCTTGACATTTAGTTTTCTATTCCCAGAGTGATGAATTATAAATGATGACATTTGTCTATTGCTCATTCTCATTACCTAAGGAAAAAACAAGTGTATTTCACCCAGTGGTCTGAACTATTTTATCTAATAAAAGATGTATCTACATTTCTTCTAGGTTACCTTCCGAACAAGAATCTATCACTGTAATATTAACAGCCAAGGCGTGATCTGTTTGGATATCCTAAAGGATAACTGGAGTCCAGCCCTAACCATCTCTAAAGTCCTTCTCTCCATCTGCTCACTTCTCACAGATTGCAACCCTGGTAAGAGACCTTAACTATTATTAATGTGGAACTCTCCTCAAGGTTTATATGTCAGATTTCAGAACTTGTTTACTACTACTAACACCACCACTAATACTGCTGCTACTGATTTTAAGTTTCCATAATGTGTAACTTTTTTTTTAATTAGGTCTTCTGATTAGTTTTTAAAAGACCTATTCTTTGCCAAAAAAAGGGAAAAAACGTAATGTGATAAAAATTGATGAAAAATCATTTCAGATGAGAAAGTATATTTTAAGAATGCATTAAATTCTCCTGCCAAATAATAATAAAAATTCAAATTGAATAGTTTAACCTTTAATTAGATGCCAGAAGATGTTAATTTGAGAAATGCAGACCGTTAAAATCTGAAAACAACCACGCAGCACCATATAGTTGTGACCTTTTGGCATCTTTATAACTGTGTGACCAGACAAGCCATTAGAACAAAAAAGCTGAATGGTCCTGAACTAGGAAATACAACTTCCCAGGAAAACTAAAGAGATTATGGACAGGTCTCTGTGGCTTGCTGCCATGCTTAACACTGAAAAGTTCTTAGCCCTGTATACTCCTAAATATGTGATTATGTGTCTTTTAACTAAAAAACCAACTGCCAGTTTTTTTACATATTTGGATGTTTTTTTAATACAAAAATCTAAACATGGCTATAGGATTTTTATTGGTATTCTCCATGGGAACATTGTTCTTTGAGCACTTAATAGCCTTAACATTGCATGGAATTCCATCTTCCATGCTTAGGAATAAATTCTTTTACATATTCGTTATTTCTTAGTAATAAAAAGTATTTACAGTGAAGAAATGTGAAAATAATTTAATAAAATTGTAATATATTTAAAATGTCAACACTAAAAAAACACAATTATGTAAGGTCATTATATAGTAGTTTTTTGATTAATTCGTACTTTGCAACCACATAGAAAAGCCCAGTAATGCTACACACTAAGTTAAGAGTTGATTTTGCCCTTTCGATCCCATCATTATTCCTATTCCAGTCCAGCTTTTCTCTGTGACTGTCTGTATAACTTCATTGAGAGGTAATGTTGCAAGACAGGTTTTTTTCCCCCTAGTGCTTTCAGGCCTATTACTTTGAATCAGTTAATCCCGCTTAAAGAAATGGATTCATTCCTCCAAAGCTTTCTCTCTAAAAAGATTACTATTCATTGAAGTAGTAGGGGGTTTTAGAGTCTTTGGGGCATTTTTTGGTTTTGGTGGTGGTGATGGTGATGGTGGTGGTGGTGGTTTTTGCTTTGTCTGAGAAAATTACAGATGCATTCTACAAAAAAAATTAAAATTGTTCCTAACTAAAGCAAAATCACATAAATTTAAAAGTACAGAAATGTATTTTGAAAATAATACTGTTAATAGTAAGAATAAGCCTAAAATTAATGGCCCTTAAAACTGTAAACAATTCATCTGATATTAGAAAGAATAGTATCTGTAAAATCATGCTAATGTTTTAATTTATCACACTTTAATACATATAAAAAATTGTCCTAGTTGGCACCTAAATATGAATTTTGACACCGCTAGCGGTTGCTAATATCTTAAACAAGTTATGTCATCCATTCTTTTAATAGACTTTACTTCCCACTGTTTTCTGGTACATTTTGAACCTTTGCAGGTGTTTTTTCTCCTTAGGTTGAAATTGTACTTGAGCCTAACCTGTTTTCAAATTATCACAAGTATAAATTTGGTGAATATTAATATGTAAGGTTATCCTATACTGAATCTGTAGTTATTTTAACACCAGTAATGCTTGCTATCAGCTCAGAAATAGGCCTTGCATGATGATACATATTTAAGCCACTTAAAAATGCCCTCATTCTTATCCCTACATAAACTAATTTTTAAACCTTTTTCATACTCCTCATATTTTACTTTTGTCTCTTTCAAGAATTTTTGATCCATAAATGTAATGTTATTTTAAGAAATAGTAGCACATCCTAATTAGGATAGACAGACAGAAGATGATGAATGTAAAAACCAACTCCACTGTTTATTGGTTATGTGACTTTAGATCAGTCACTCCACTTTTCTCTCCCTCGGGTTCATATATAAAATGAGGATGATAACCAGCCTTACCTAAATCACTGGGTTGCTATGAGTTTAAATTAAAGTAGCATATGTGAAAGTCCTCTATAAACAGTAGTATGTTGTTGTTGATATTCTTTCCAGAGTATTTAGGACACGAAATGGACATTCAGTCGATGACTTATCAATATCTACTTAGTTGAATTTGAGAGAAGATAGTATTGAATAATCCCCTAATACTACCACATCAGCATTGACACTCTTAGATTCCATAGTCCAAGCCCAATCCTAAATTAGTGGTGCTATTTGTGTTATCTCATGAGGTAGATTCTCTCAAGTAACAAACATCCAGTGAAGGTTCATTCTCAGAGTGATGTGTGTATGCTTTATCTTGGATTTTGTTTGCTTATTTGTTAATTCTCTGGGAAGGTGATTTAAAGTTGCAATACTGTAACTAGACAAAGAAGCTTTTGATTTATATTGAGAGTTGCATTTGGACAACTCAGGCTATGTGTATATTCACAGTGCTCATGTCCAAGGGATGATGTGTTACAGTAAAAAGAAAGAGGGTTTGAGTTGTCTTCTTTGATAACATGTCTGTGTTGGGTTTTTCATTTTCTTGTTTTAAAAATGGAAATATCATTGGGTTTTAGAGTTTGTTTGGAGGTTTTAGGAGTTTTTATTTAATTTCTTCATCAAAATGATCCCTGCTTGTTAATTTTTTTTAGATCAAGTATCCTTTATAGATAAAGATCTTAACCTGAGCCTCTTTGATCTGGAAATTCAAATTTGGTTGGACTCAGCAAAGTGCACGTCAGTTTGTCTCATAATTTAGACATACTGACTTCAATGTTTAGTTCTGGCTTTGACCTACTTTGACTTAGGGTTTCTCTATGCCTACTTTACTGTCCTATAATTAATATAAATCTAGACATGGATTAGCTTTGTAATGATTTTTTTGTTACAAAGCCTATTCTCACTTTGAGACCAGAATATTAAGCAAAATAAATCAGACACATGTGCTTAAAATATCACATAATTTCTTTCTTTCCCCACTCCGCCCTTCCATACTGGGGATGGAACTGAGGACCTTGTGCTTTCGAGGCAGGTGTGGCCACTGAGCTAAATCCCAGGCCCCACATCATTTCTTTTATATGAGAAACCCAACATATAAATAAAAACCAAAATAAAACATAGATAGTAGAGATCAGGGAGAGAAATCTTTCACAAATTGGCAAGGGACCAAGAGATGTAGGGAGAAGGAAAAGAGATGAGGGGAAGGGAACTTTAAAAGAATTAAAATATGTTACAGACATGTACCAACTCCCACACTTCTGCCATGATGTTTCTACCTTGGAGCCACTACACCATGGACTAAATCCTTTTAAAACATGAGCCAGGGCTGGGGATTTAGCTCAGTGGTTCCACCGCCTGCCTCGCAAGTGCAAGGACCTGAGTTTGATCCCCAGTACCAAAAAAAAAAAAAGAAAATTAAAACATGAGCCAAATTAAACTTCTTTAAGTTGGGGTATCAGGTACATTGTGTCCAGCAACAGGAAACATGTACTAATAAAAATAAAAAAATTTTTTAAAAACAAAAGTCTTGAAAATTTACATGTGTGGACAGCAGAAAGATTTTTTTTTTTAGTTCTTCATTATTTTTTAAATGAAGATAACTAGAGATTGCAGTGGTCTTTTAAAAACTCAGATGGTTGATTCTTCTCATTGTAGAATAAAAACATTTTTTAATTACAGGGAAAAGAATTATGCAAGAATTCTATATTATAAGTCAGAGATCTTTCATTTTCCGCTAGTAACTTCACACAGTTTTTTTGTTGATTTTTGTTTGTTTTGCTTTGGCTATCAGAAAGCACAACACTGTTCAGTCAGCAGTCACTGCATTAACCCATATAATTTACATTTATACTGTTCTTTCCTATAATTTTCTCTGTTTTTTAATAACTTGAATTATTCTGTTTCTAATCATTCTATTGAATGATTTCAAATTGTTCGGCTCCTACATGGCAAAATGAGATGCATAAATAAGAGATTGAAGTTTTTTACTGTGGTATGCTAAGGATCACTCACTGTTTCAGTTTATATACAGCTTGTCTCAAGAGAGACATAACTATATCTGGCTTTGCTAAGCAGTTGTGTTCCAGCAAGACATTGTTTTTCCTCTGTCTCTTGTCCAGCTCTTCTAAAGGTTCTTGGTCCCCACACAAATAGAATGGTTTCAGGTGTTATTCATAGGAAAGGATTTGCTGAATGTGTTTTATCCACCATTTAAAATACCTATGAATGGGGCCAGAGATTTAGTTCAGGGGCACCATGCCTGCCTTGCAATTGCAAGGTCCTAAGTTCAGTCCCCAGTACCAAAAAAAATAAAATAAAATACCTTTGAATAGGGCTGGAGGTGTAACTCAGTGTTAGAGCATGTGCTTAGCATGCATGAGACCCTAGTTCAGTCCACAGCACTGAAAAATAAAAATTAAATACTTAGAAATGATGAGATTATTAAGTACCTGACTGTGCCTATATAATTCCTTAGTTCTTTGTCACATGCTCCTTTAAGCTCTGAATGCAGTTTCTTTGTTGATTAATTTATTTTGCAGTTCAGATTTTTGTTCCCATTGAGTCCATATCTTCAATGAGGTTGTTTGTTAAAATGGTGAGCTTGTTATTGATAAATGGAATCATTCTAATGAAATTTATTGTCAAAAATACTTGTTCTTAATTTATAAATAACAGGGATTTTATTTCATGTAAAATTAAAAAGTATGTTTTATAATTTGATAATAATGTAAAAAACATCCTTGTGAGGGTTAAGCTTGATTGTGTCAACTTGACACAATTGGGCTCCCTTGGGAGCCTCCCAGTGGCTTGGTGGAGCACACACCTGGGTGGGTCATGGATGCATGGCATGGGGGTCTGTCTATTCCCTCGCCCCT